ATTGCAGGGTTTCATGAAACTGGAAGTGTTACAGATTGACGAAAAAGTGGGATACCAGTAAGGGTTACAAACAAAGAAAATTGTTTGAATTTCTTGTTAGATATGCTGGAAAATCCAATAAATTCGACACAACAGAGGGCTTTAAATCATAACATGGGTCCATAATTTCCTTTAAAAAAATTGTCAAACGGGAAAAATTACATCCATATAAAATCGAATTCTGCGAAGTTATTATGGATAAATTAAACGAAAATGTCAGCTTTGTCACCCACATATTGTTTTCTGACGAATCTACATTTTCTTTAAACAGGCACGTAAACGGACACAACTGTAAGTATTGGTCAGATCAAAATCGATAGTGGACGGAGGAAGTTCACACCCAACCACAGAAAGTAAATGTTTGGTGTGGTATTATTGATGGTTCGTTATATGATCTTAAAGCGGAAATTTAACCGCTAGCGGAAAAAAATAAGGGATAAAAAAAATCTAAATTTTGAGCGATTTTTCAAATGGCTGTATCTTTGACAAAAATGGTCGTATTGGAGTAAAAAAAAGCAGTTTGAAGCTTGAAGTTTCTAATTTTTGGATTTTGCAAAAAACATGTTTTCAAGTAACACGTATCGCGCAATCTTAATGAATATCATGAAAAAAAATTTTTCGAAATTTTTTTCGATCTTATTTTTGGTGTACGGACTTGAAAAAAATTTTTCCAACTTAACTACCTTATGGATTAGATAGGTTGTTCATTTAGCTTCAATTTCTTTTTTTTTTGGTCTCGATACGACCATTTCTCGCTGAGCTATCGGACTTTGAATGAACTGGATCATTTTCTATTTGTTCATCGATATCTCAGTAACCAATGGTTGCACAGAAAATCGACGGTGGGTTTCAGAAACTTGAATGAATTCTCTACAAGGTCCTAGCACGGTTTTTTAGAAAAAAAATTTTGTATCCTTAACATGACTGAAAAATCGTAAAAATAGGACTTTTTGGGGTCTTCTAGAAAATCACCACATTGAGAATATTGGGAAAATGACTAATGTTAAGTGTGCCTTTTACAGGTCATTGTACCCCTAAAAGCCCTACAGAGTTTCAATTCGATCCATCAAGCCGTTTTTTTGTTTCATTCGATTGAATTTTTTTTAAAATTAAAGGATCACGTTTTTTTGCATTTAAATGCTCATAATCTGTAAAAAAAATGAAGAAAAAATTTTTTTCCTGATTTTTTTACTTTCTTATTGCAGAAAGTGTTTGAAATTATGAAAAAAAAAATTGTTTGAAAAATTTTTTCGGAAAAAATTCCGATTTTCAGAAATTTCGTAAAACCACCGGCATTAGCGTTACCCAAAGCGTACCACGTGGAGGTTGCACGGTCGGATTTACGCTTCTTTTACACACGTGCGAAAAGCGTTTGAAGTTGACATAAAAGTTTTTTTTGAAAATTTGTTTGAAACATTTTTTCGTTGGACTCACTCCAGAAAATTTATCTCAGTAATCCCCAAGCATTTTCGTCACGATTCCCATACTTCATTTCGTGATTATGCTGACCGAATTTTAAATAAATTTAAAAAAGTTGATACCCCTAACCGAATATTGACCTCGATCTACACCCTTTTCAGAGATTATTGCTGCGATACTTCTGAGTTAATAAAACGATTTTTCCGAATTTACAGAACACTAAAACAAACAGTTTTTTTCAAACCACCTTTTTTCACTAGAAAAAAAATTTGAATAATTTTTTTTTTGTCAACTTCAAACGCTTTTCGCACGTGTGAAAAAGAAGCGTAAATCCGACCGTGCAACCTCCACGTGGTACGCTTTGCCGACGGTTTTGCGAAATTTATGAAAATCGGTTCAAAAAATTTTTCAAATTTTTTTTTTTTTTTTCATAATTTCAAACGCTTTCTGCAATAAGAATGTAACAAAAATCAGGAAAAAAATGTTTTAATTTTTTTACAGATTATGGGCATTTAAAGGCAAAAAAACCTGATCCTTTAATTTTTTAAAAAATTTAATCGAACGAAACAAAAAAACGGCTTGATAGATCGAATTGAAACTCTGTATGGCTTTTAGGGGTACAATGACCTGTAAAAGGCACAAAACATTTGTCATTTTCCCAATATTCTCAATTTTTCAGTCATGTTAAGGATAAAAATTTTTTTTTTCTAAAAAACCGTGTCAGGACCTTGTAGAGAATTCATTAAAGTTTCTGAAACCCACCGTCGATTTTCTGTGCATCCATTGGTTTCTGAGATATCGATGAACAAAGAGAAGATGATCCAGTTTCATTCTCCAAAGTCCGATAGCTCAGCGAGAAATGGTCGTATCAAGACCAAATAATAAAAAGAAATTGAAGCTAAATAAACAACCTATCTAATCCATAAGGTAGTTAAGTTGGAAAAATTTGTTGAATTCTACTTTGAATAAACTTACTTACTTACTTACTTACTTACTTACTTACTTACTTACTTACTTACTTACTTACTTACTTACTTACTTACTTACTTACTTACTTACTTACTTACTTACTTACTTACTTACTTACTTACTTACTTACTTACTTACTTACTTACTTACTTACTTACTGACTTACTTACTCACTCACTCACTCACTCACTCACTCACTCACTCACTCACTCACTCACTCACTCACTCACTCACTCACTCACTCACTCACTCACTCACTCACTCACTCACTCACTCACTCACTCACTCGCTCGCTCGCTCGCTCACTCACTCACTCACTCACTCACTCACTCACTTACTTACTTACTTATAAAATAGAATTCCAGAGAAAATATATTTTGTTATTTATTAAAAATTGTTTTCTCTCCTTTTTTATTCTGGTACAAGTATTGTTTTCATAAAATTTAAAATATCCATGACATTCATTACAAAAATGCATTTTTTCGTTTCAACCCTGAACTAGTATACTTTTTTAATTTCTGTAAAAAAACTACTAATAAATTTAAATCATATCCATATAGTCCCCATTGTGATATTTTCAAAATAAGTATCCATAATTTGGGGCCCTTTCCCTTTTCTTTTTATAAATTTGCGAGTAGTATAAAGTCACTCTCAAAGTTCGATATCTAATGGTTACATGGTATATGATGTGCTGTATGAATTTTGTTTAGAATTTCGAGAAGAATTGAAATATGGAATAATATACAGGGTGTTCCATTAAAGTAAAAACAACTTTGTTTCGTCATGACTTTTTGACTGATCCTGTAGGTAGACTTAACATTTCTTTATTGTACCTAAAACGTTTATGTCTTATGATATTTTGATATTTATCTTACTTTAGGAGATAATCGACTCATTAAAAACATATCAGCGACACTTGAAAAATTGTTTTAGATTTGTGTTTGGTGAAGGAAATAAAATAAATGCAACGGAATTTCTAGGCAATACATTTTTTTGGTATTTGATATTCCAGTGTATCGATACAAAAACATCATATCTAGATTCTCTTTAAAGAGGTATACGAATATCTTCCTTATTATTCAATTTTGGAAAATGTTTAAGTAGGTATATAAAAAGATATTCTTTACTTTTCATACACTATCCCTCCTAAAATTAACAGGAGACAATTAAGACCACCTTATACTTACAGGGTGTTTTGGGATTAACTGGACAAACTTAAAATTTGAAATCTGGCCATCCTATGAAGAAATATACCTAATTGAAGTACAGGATAATATTTCCTAAGAACATATTTAATTAAAGGTATAGACAGGGATTAAAGGAGGACAGAGGAAACGCTATCACTAAAAACCCCAGGAATTTATTGACGTCACTGGATATATTGCAAATGAATTTAACATCTAAGAAAGAAAGACCTATTTCAATGTATTCCAAAAAATTACCACCGTCGAGTTTTTTTTAGTTTAGGTACATTTCCGTAACTAAGTATTTCAATGAATTTAAAATTACTGATTTCACAAAAACGGAAAAATAGTAGAAATTTTCCATTTGAATAAACTTAAAATTTCAACACAATGATATTTTATAGAAATACGATTCTAAATACAGACATTCATGTATATGGCACAAGAAAATTCTGTGGGCAAAAACCAAGACGTCATATCTTTTTGGCTTTGCTGCAACATTAACTATTTATCCAGTTTCCTGAAAGAATCTGATTTGAAAGCTTTACTTACTTTACTTTTATTTTTAATTCAGTTTTGAATATTTAATATTTGTGAAATTTATTGAAATTTTCTATTAAGTAACAATAAATTAAAGCAATTGCGATAGCTATATACAATAAAAAAAGCTAAAATTTGGAGCGTACTAATGTACTGGCCAGGAATCCGTTCCTGGTTAGTAAACTTCAAGGTACTCGGGTTAATTTTCGAAAACACACCGGGCTGCTTGTTCTTCCGCCTTCCGATATATGTCATCTACGGTTGTTTATTCATGGCCTCACACATTTTGCGTGATTTGTGGCCCATAAATGGGTCTTCAAATGTTTAATGAATTAGTTTGAGAACATTGGTGAAAATTCAAAATTCGCTCGGGACTCATACTACGACAAAACTTTTTACTTAATCAGTATGTCACAAGTTAAAGCAGAATCGTACTGTATACTATTAAGGATATGTTTGTGTGCCTAACAGGCAGTGTAAAGCAGATGATTACGATTAAATCCTGTTAGTGTAAACGATTTTTTTTTAATAAAATGATAGCAGGAATCACTGTTTACATTAATCAATATAAGATGACCATTAACGTAGCAACCGATAAACCCCGATGACCCTTACAACTCGACTTTGTATATTTAAGATTTAAATTCATAATATACATAGTATTTGTTCAGTGTTGATTACACCGCCATCCCTGAATTCCAATTTGTGTACTAGATGCGTTCAAGTTGTATTCTAAATTTAGTCTAACCTCTATTTCACTCCCCAAATTGTCTGTTATGTCCCTCCTATGATTTTATTTACTTATCCTTACCTGTACCTGATATACTAATTGCTCAAAAATGATCGTAGATGTTGTTGCTTCCTCCGGGAGTATGATAGTGGTCTCCAACAGGCTGCCCTTCGTACTACAGAGAAACAAGGAGGGAAAGCTCATACGCAAGGCGAGGTGAGTACTTGCTTGTTATTATATTCCACCATCTATTATACTTTAATGAGAATTTGTACATATATTCCCATTAAAACTAAAATCAGACCCATAGATCATGGATTTTATTCGGAAATATTGAACAATCACCGCTAAAGTGTTTCACAATAATATTAATAAAATATTTATGTCGATGCTACAAAAATATTGACGTTAGTCTCCCATTGTAATAAACATAAGATAATCAGTCTTCAATATTATGAAAAAATGGTAGTAAATAAGTTCACTGGCAACAATAAGAATTAAATTCATCTAACATTTTTATTTCATAATCTATAATCTATCAAAAGCAGTGTGTTCCCATTACAAAATTTGTCTACGCTAACATTAAGAAATTGTGAAAAAAGCACGCTGGATATAGAAAAATGTAAGAAACAGAAACTGGTAACAAAAATTGCACAGCAAACCAATATTGCTCCTGAATAAAATGGGTATATCAATAAATAAATTATTGATATACCCTTTTAGCCACGATGTCGATCCATGATCCTAACGTGACTAAAGCGTCTTAAAATAAGCTTATGTGTATTTTATTCCATGGCATTGATTGCCATTGAAAATATTTGGCTCTTTGTCAAAACCCTGTAATAAAAAAGGTAAACAAGCCAATTTTCTTATTTTAATTGGATCATATATTTTCATATTTCATGTTTAAAATGTGTATAAATGGAATACAGCTATTTTTAGAATTTGACTAAAATTACGTTACGTTTTATTGCTTATATCTAGACCAAACAAGGTGCATAATTTAACAAAAAAAAAATTAGAAGGGTATAAACTTCGAATTATCCAGAAAATAACTGAATTACCAATGTTTTGATTTAGTTTAGTTTAATTTATATATTTACGCATATTTGAACTGAGATATGCATTACAAACATTATAAATAAACAATGATCAGTATGGGCACAAGCCATTAGATAGCTTTCACCAAATTACGAACTACCAAGTCGACTCGCATTTATTACACACATTATTATTCTATTTTACTATCTTTTTAGTTTTCTTTTGCAATCCTAATCTGTTGAAATTTATCTTCAGAGTTCAATTTGTTATAATAATACACATAATGTTATTTAAAAGTAAATAACATTTTCTAGCTTCTTATAACACAACCTTTTTCGCAGTTAACTTTATTTAGTCAGATTGGAGTTTAACATTCTATTTCCAACTTCACTGTTTTCCATATATGCAAAGCTTTTCAAAATATAGCGCCGCGCTGTGGTGATTATTTTAACGAACAAACAATATTTTTGCACAAAATTGTTCTAAATAGAGAAAAATGTGTTTTTTATATATTACTATTATACAGGGTATTACAAAAAAGTAAGTCGAGTCGCTAGCCACAAATTCTTTAAGCGAAATAATAGGTGTTTCCTTTTCCCATTTTTTATTTAGGATCCTCATCTTTAGGATACAATGTACCAACGTAGAATCAAATTTTTATTATTTCGTTTTAAATTTCACATATACTCTTTTCCTGAATCGATTTTTTTTATAACGATGATCAATCAAATGTATTTTTTTAGTTTCATTCTCTAATAAATCTGTTATAAAATTTATTATAACTTGCAAAAATTTTGATTTAGGTTTTAATAAATGAAATATTGTAACTTTTTGGGATATGACATATTGACCGATCTGTTGTGGGACAAATAAAGCTTTAAAATCATGAAAATTCATTTCGTAAGCTAAAACCACACATTTTTTAGCATGTTTTGCTCTACTTTATTAAAACACCAGTGCTATTTTGTAAAAATTTTGACCTATTTATTATGGACCAAGTTTAAAATATTTAAATTATTGTTCATACAGACTAATGGTACTCTACAAACGATTTATTGATACGGTCTTGACAGAATTTTGGAATTGCATTCTGTATAAATGCACATTCGTTAGAAACAATCAGTAGTTATTGTATATAGTAGACTTCAATTTTCGACGAAGAATAAATTTTTACCTGTTGTTTTTCTATTAAATTATTCTTATTCCAACTTTTTTCCTGATGGCCAAGTTTGACGTTTAAATTCATAGCCAACTATTGAATTTTCGATGATTAGAAATAACACAGCTACAATACGTATTATTAGTTACTCGTGTTTTTGTTGAAAACGACAAAGTTTTTTTAAAACTAGCAAGAGTAAGAAAAGTCCGTCACCGGGTTAAAAAAATTTGTCACATTTTAATGGTGCATCATCCGTTATCAACCTTTTAAAATGCTTCAGTTGAACTGTACTTACTGTCGACTAATGCTCTTGGGACACTCACACCGCGTACCGAATTTGATTTTTCTAAGTTGAAGTAAGTATATTAATTTTTCGAAATTTGATACCTCACATTCAAGGTCTATAAGATCTGATGGGTGCATCTTAATATAAAGGTAGTTGCGTTAAATCACCGTATTTTGGGTTCCTCTATTTTTAATATTATTTATATTTAAATCATCCTCTGAGACTCTCTGGTCCCTCTAGTCGTCCGAGACTTTAGCTTAGAGAATTTCTCCATTTCTAGCCTTTTGAGCAACTATAACTCCTTACAGAATTCCTAATTCCCTGACAAACATACATTCAATTGAAATTTGCAGGACAGAATTAAATCCTACTTCTAAAGTTCTAGCCGTCTTAAAAAGTTAAAGAATAACACCGCAAGTGTCATACGAAGAAGCACATTCAACAATTTTCTAAATGCTGTTATTGCAATATAGATCGATTCTAAATTAATTTAATTTATAAAATTAAAAGAATATTTAACCAAAACTGTTGGTAAAGTCAGTATAAGTGTTAAGTTTAATATGTAAATCATATGTTTTTCTGTTATATATAAAAAACAATAAGTAACCCAAGAAAAATGCATTAATCTAAGGCATCTAAAACTGTCTAAAACTGCATATGAAAGAAATTTGTGTAATTTGTCTTTATTACATTTAGGCCCGGAACTTTGAGTATCGGTTAAACTTGATTAACTGATCAGACGATTAGACTCTACGCATTCTGATTTATTTTATAAAGTAACGAGCGTTCAAATAAAAACGTGGTCGAAGTTGGCTCTGACACATTGGACGTAGGGAGTAGCTTATAGCGACCAACTTAACCTCATTTCTCAACGAGCTGTATAGCAGCTGTCAGTTTCAATAACGTTAATGACTATATAACTTTATTTTAAAGAATAATCGTGATAACAATAACAAACAATTAAAGGAGCTGCGGAAAGTGTCCCCCTCCTTGTTATAACAATAAATTAAAGCAGCTGCTGAAAGTGTCCCCCTCCTTGTTCCAAGCACTTTTCACACCTGTTCCTCAAAGAATTAAAGACATTTTCTAAGATGCTCGGGGTATTGTTAATTTCACGAATCTTGTCTATAAGTCGAGCCTGCAGATGGTTTAAATCAGGAATAGGCAGTTCAAAAATAGTGTTTTTAAGGTAAGGCCACAAAAAGAAATCACACGGCGTAATATCACATGACCTCGGTGGAAATTCATGTTCAGCATTGAGACTTATTAGTCGATTTTGGAAAACTTCCCTCAACATATTCATCGTCTCGCCTGCCGTATGTGCCCTTGCGCCATCTTGTTGAAAGTAAAAGTTTGTAATTTCGTTTTCTTCCAGCTGGTTAACAAAAGGAGCGATAATTTCTTCTCTATACCTTTGCGCAGTAAGAGTACCATTAAAAAAAATAGGTCCATAAATCCTCCTTCGATTGAGAGCACACCAAACTCCAATTTTTTGAGCGTGTAGAGGGCCCTCGACAAAAAAGTTATCTGGTTTTTCAGAAGACCACATTCTCATATTCTGTGAGTTTACGTAACCACTTAAATGAAACCAGGCTTCATCAGAAAAAAAGGTGATATTATGAAGTTCACCGTAGTTGTTTAAAAACCATTCACAAAATACAGCCCGTCGCGGAAAATCAACTTCATGAAGTTCTTGCTGACAAGTTAAACGATAGGAGAACAAACGCAAATCTTTTTTTAACACTGTGTGGCAGGTACCGACTGATACTCCCACCATTTGTGATAAAACACGTACAGAAGTTCTTGGCGCATTTTCCATTATTTGTTGGACATTTTCTTTTAATTCTTCAGTCCGCTTTTTAGGTCGGCCGCTTCCTTCTTTTCTTGTTACACTGCCCGTTTCACGAAAAACATTAACACAACGCTGAACTGCACTTTGAAAAATTTTGTACTCAACAACGCCGGGAAATTGATTTTGAAATTCTATGAAACATTCCTCAATAGAATACTTCCATATTCCATCAATCTTGCGTCCATTTCTAAAGTAGGACTCTATGATAAACACTTTTTGTTCTTGAGAAAACACCATTTTAAACGCTTTTTAAAACGAAAATATTCAAATTGATAGCGGCGATATAGCGCTTTGACAGATGACGTTTAAGTTCATTTGCTATACGCTACGCCCTACGTCCAAATTTTCAGAACCAACTTGACCACGTTTTTATTTGAACGCTCGTTATAAGCACAGTTAATCGCCTGATTATTTAATCAAACCTTAATTGATACTCAAAGAACCGGGCCTTAAGTTAGTTAATATTCAAGGTTGTTTTTTATAATTAAACTTCATATATTTTATTTATGCAAATACCTATGCAATCTATACCATTTATAGTGAGAAAATACCCTGCACACAGAATTGACATCTAAGACATGTTTTTCTAGGGACAGTTAGATGTCTATAAAATATTCGATCAGATATTGAAACAATACTTACAATACAATACTTTTTTAATACTTTAATTATTAAATCTTATTTTAAATTTTAACTTACAATATATATCTTGAAAAAGAGAAGCTTAGATAAAAAAAATGACATGGACAGACTATTATTTTAGTAAGGAGTAGTGAATGGCTCGACCTACTTTTGTAACATCCTGTAGTATAAACATTTAATTTATAAGTGGCAATTAAAGGTGTCAGATGTGATTTTCAAATTTCAAATTTAAATGCCATGTAGATACATATTCTTAAATTTATTAAAAATTATTTGCGACGCTCGAGCAACGGCGTAGTCTAAACATGCTGGAAGTAAGCTTTGAACTTTATATGTTTATATACAAATTGCGTAATGATAAATATTTTTTTAGATCGTTGGTTTTGATGTCACACAAATAAATCAAATAAAGTAATCTACGGTTCAAGTAACTCTTTGAAAAAAATGTGTGCGAAGAACAATTTTATAAGCAAAACATATAAAAATAAAGTGAAATTTAACCAATTACTGTGTTACTAATTTGTCAATACATTTATCATTTGCATTATCTATTTTACTAATTCTCAACTCTTCCTGATATTATGTAAATATCACCGAGTTGCATTCTTTATCAAAGATTGAAGATATGTCTTGACGAACAAGCGACACAAGTCAGAATTTTAATTAGTAAATAAAGGCGTTTCGTGCAAATGCTTATACATATAGGAAAATATTCTTAATCTTGGGCGAAGTAAACGCTCTTTATACAGGGTGTTTGGTAAGTCCATACATTCCTTGCAGGAGGTTATAGTACAAGTGATTTGTGATATATATCCTTAATATACTATATTCCGAAAACGTTTAGTTTCCGATCTACAGGGTACTAAGTTTTAATAAAAAAATGCAGATTTATAAATGTTGCGGAAACCGCTCAAAATATTTTAATGAAATTTTAAAGGCTTTGACAGTTAACAACAATACATGTTTTCTTATGACGCATCGTTTTCGACAAAAGAAATAAATTCGGTTTCAATAATTTGAAAAATAGCAGAAAAACAGTCGAGATAAATTTTCTCTTCGAAATTGAACAAGGAATTCACAAATAAGTTTTATTTTAAGAAAAATCAGTGGCATATAATTTTTTTCATTAAAAATATCCAAAGAGGTGCCTGTGTGTACGCCACTGGTGAAATTAAAAACAATATTTTTATCGTAAAACATGTATTGTTGTTAATTGTCAAAGCTTGTAATATTTCATTAAAATATTCTGAGCGGTTTCCGCAATATTTATAAATTTGCATTTTTTTATTAAAATTTTAACACCCTGTAGATCGTAAACTAATCGTTTTCGGAATATGGTATATCAAGGAAATATATCACAAATCGCTTGCACTATAACCTCCTGCAAGGAATGCATCGACTTTCCAAACACCCTGTATATTATATATTATATAATATATATTATAATATATTCTTTATAATATTTTTGTAGTGCTGGTGGTCTTGTGACAGCGGTAGCCCCTGTAGTCATAAACTGTAATGGATTATGGGTGGGATGGCCTGGTATACATTTAGAGGATCCAAATGAGCCTATTCCCGAATCAGACCCTTCTGATATTACACCCACAGCTGGACTAAAGTCAGAAAAAGTATGTAGATATAAAAGACAATTGTTTATATAAATAATACATAACAATAATTCATATTTATATGCATTTACTCTGACTTTTCATATGCACGACAATTCTAAGGTATCATTAAGAACTTTTAGCATTACTTTAAATATATTGAGCTAATTCAAATTTATTCTAAAAGTTTTCGTTTGGTTAACACCAAATGAGATTACACTTAATCAGATATACATGCTGTTACAAATTCGCTTCTCACTACAGGGATCTCGGAAACGGTAAGAGGTACGAAGTAGCTTAAATGGGAGCAAAGTTGCATAATCAGGGGACCAACATTATGCTCATATGATCAGTTTTCGAAATATTTGAAAGAAAAAACGAAATTTTGGAATTCCGTATTTGTTTCGTTTCAGCCTTGTTTGAGGTGATATTGTAAAGAGAACACTTTTTCATGGCTAGTTTTTGCCCTCTATCGAATGTAATAATCAATTTTTATATGTAACGTTTCATCTATCCAGGACCATCATCAACTTTATTATTTTAAATACGACCTTGGAAATTTTTTGCCAGCCTTCATGACCCTTAATACAGATTCAGACGCTTTGTCTTGAAAAATTCATCTTCAATGTATTCGTTCCTTTATCTAATTTGTATTTAAATTTCTATGTTTAATTATCGTACACTCTAAGTGTCGTCGCCTTATTGGGAGCACCTGGGGACTGAAACCAAAGATGTCATACTGGTTGTATACGTCGATAGTAAGACCTAGGATTCTTTACGGCGCTGTGCTATGGTGGCAAAAAACAATAGACCACAGCGAGGGAAAAACTTAATAGAATTCAGAGATTGCCCTGTTTAAGTATAACGGGGGCGATGGCATCGACCCCGACAGCTGCACTAGAAGTCATGCTAAATCTGCCACCGCTGCATATAGTGGTGGAAAGAGAAGCGCGGCTAGCAGCATATCGACTCAGGAATAACAACGACTGGAGGGCTAGTTCCTATTCCAGGATTATAGACACAACTATTATGTCGGAACCAACTTTTGGGATGGTATCTGCCAAGATGGTTCCAAGGTTTCACTTCCACAAGCCTTTTGAGACTCGAATAGAGGATCAAAGCAAATGGGAGGAAAGGTTTAATACCCTGGAAAGGTGGAGCCTAGTATGGTTTACAGATGGCTCCAAAATGACCAGAGGGACGGGTGCAGGAATATATGGACTCAGACCCAGATGGAGTGCAAGCTACAGTCTGGGGGAGTTCCCTACTGTATTCCAAGCAGAAATCTTCGCGATAATGGCGTGTCTGGCAGAGAATGTACGTAGAGGTTATAGACGTAAACTCATATATATATTCTCTGATAGTCAAGCTGCAATTAAAGCTTTAGCCGCACACAAGGTAAGTTCAAAACTGGTGTGGGACTGTTTACAAATGCTGACTGAACTGGCCACCAACAATACAGTCAGACTGTGTTGGGTGCCAGGGCATAAAGGCATTTGTGGAAATGAGAAAGCGGATGAACTTGCTAGGAAGGGATCCGAAACAGAGTTCATTGGCCCGGAGCCCTTCTGTGGCACATCTCCCAGTGTGGTCAGGCGGGCTCTGGGCAAATGGACTGAGACAGAACATAGGAAATACTGGACTTCAAGGCCAGGACATAGTCATTCTAAGGAGCTCATGGAGTATCTTTCGAAGGAAAGAGCGAATGATTTACTGAGCTTGGACAGAATCCGGCTCAGGAGAGTGACATGACTCATAACGGGACACTGTCACTTTAGGAAACATCTACATAAGCTAAAGCTTGTAGACAGTCCGGTCTATCGAGGATGTGAATCGGCGGATGAAACTTCTCTGCATATCCTGGGCGAGTGCCCGGGATTTGCACGTAGCAGAATGGCGCTCCTTGGGCGACCCTACTTGGAACCCAAGGAACTGAGAGAAGTGTCAGCAAGGAAGCTTTTGGACTTTGTAAAAAGGACAAATCTACTTGCTGAATAGGACTATTAGTGGGACACACAATAGGCCTAATCAGGCCGCAGTGCTATGGGACTTATTACCACCAACCACTAGAAGTAGAAGTAGAAGTGTCGTTAGATCCTATGAAATATATCTAGTTATTTAAACTATTACAATCACACATTACAATGAATCATTATTGTTTTAATCTTCATAATCTGGTCATACATAATTCGATAAGTTGTTACTTCAAAATTAAAACATAATTGCAATTTTAATTTCATTATGACAAATTAATTCTTAAAAATGCATATGAACAACCAAAAATCCAATTGAATATTATGCTTTAAAAATTACAGTAAATGTTACAAAATGTTTCCGTTCTGGCAAATGTTGAAAATGAAGATAAGCGTAATATCATCGGAATTTATTATACTTGTAACCGCAACTGTGAAAGAGCATACCAGATGTATTTGTATCCTGAAAAAATTTAGATCGAAATTTGTTTGAATTTTGAGCATTCGAGAAACCTAGAAATAACTACGGGCAGGGAATTAAAACTCTAATAGCGTTTTATTGTAACGTGTGATGGTAATAATTTAAATAACTAGGTGGATTTTACAGGGTCTAATGACACTTAAAGTGTACGATAATTCAACAGACATCTAAAAAAAAAATAGATTTTGGAACGAATACATTGAATATGAATTTTTCAAGACAAAACGTGTGAATCTGGTTCGGACTGAGGCAGTACAGTATTGGGGGTCATGAAGGCTTGCAAAAAATGTAATAAAATTTCCAGGGTAGTATTTAAAATAATGAAGTTGATGATGGTCCTGAAGAGACGAAACGATACATATATATTAGATTCGATAAAGGGTAAAAAGTTGCCATGAGAAAGTGTTCTTCTCTTTTCAATATCACCTCAAACAAGGCTGAAATGAAACAAAAACGGATTTCCAAAATTTTGTTCTTTTTTCAAATATTTCGAAAACTAATGTTAGTCTTGATTTTTTAGAGGCATAATGTTGGTTCCCTGATTATGCAACTTTGCCCCCATTCGCCCCCCCCCTACTTCGCATCTCTTATCTTTTCCGAGATCTCTGTAATGAGAAGTGATTTTGTAACAGCCTGTATATACTAAAGAACAACTCCGTAGACAAGCTATCAAATAATTATCTAAAATAAGAAATTAAAAACTTCTAAACTTGCAAATTTATTGTTCCGCCATTAATTTCATGATATATTGGCTTTTTTGTTCAGTTGTACAGAGCGTTTGTTTCGCAGCAGACCAGTGATAGTTTAAGTCACCATATTTTTAAGGTTACGATTTTGGGCCCTTAATACTATGTTCTTATTTACTATTTGCTAAACAGCTTGCTTTTCGAGACATAACGCAAGAAATATAGGTGGAGAACCACTTCCACCTGCATAATTCAATCAAATTTATAGTAATTTTTGTTCAGGTTGATTTTAGTTGGTGTTTAATTTTTTTTATACACTATAAAAACTTATGCATATTAAAATAATTGCGGAAGCGAATTACGTAAAAAAAGAAATTTGCTTTGTTCTCAAAAGTTCCATACATTTCTAAGAACAGTATAGAACTATCTTAAGTTTCTAAGAACAAAAAATAAGGAAATATAACATATTCTAGAAACATAATTCTAACTATGCATAATTAAATAATGAATAGTTAATACTATTAACAAATTAAAGTTCATCCAGAGCCAAAATGAAGAGAATAATATTTTCTTTACAAAAAATCATTCGTTTATTCGTTAAAAAAATAGCAATTATTTTGAACATCTGCTATAATTGACTTTCTTCTTTTATTTTTAGTTATTTATTGTTATATGACAATTTTTCTGATGAATAATAAAATAAAAATAAAACTAAACAGTTTTAAAAAACGAAAGAACATTTTTTGTGTAAAATTAGAAGGTAAAAAAATATCTATCCAAAATTCATATGTCAAAAAAGTTATGACCTAAAATATTCCCACTTTACAATATAACAAACGGCCTGTATAATTGATATAATAACTAATGACACTAGACTATTAGTCCATAGTACAGGCCTCTCCTGGAAACTTGATTACCACATACTTTATAACTCCTGAGGAGCTTCGTTTTGACGAGTCTACCACATTTTTCCTCTGCGACTTTTCTCGATTCCTCCGCTTTTCCACTCGGAAAAGTTCCAAAAACATGGCAATTTCCCGGGGTCTTAAAAAGTCAAGACCACATCTTTTATTTTTAGCTTAAGTAACTGGAAATTTTGTTGCAAATGCGGATTTAAATTTGTCCGACAGAAATTCTTCCGATATTGACGTGTCTACCGGTCGAAACATGTCAAAATAACAGGGTATTGAAAATCAATTACCACATAGATAATTTTTAGTAAAATTAATTGTAAATAATTAATTCAGTCAAAAAGTATTGTTGTCCGACAAATTTCAAGCCGCGTTTTTTCAGTCCAACAGCTGGAAATCGGAATTTTCACGGGGTATGAAAAATCGATTACCACATGTCGGACAAAAATAACACACGATAGAAAAGTGTTTTTTATAAGCAAAAATTGTAATGTCCGACAAAAATATATCCGCAAATCGTCAGTCCGACAAAAAATGATGAAAAAAATTTCGTAAAAAATGTGCACATGTATTTATAATTTCTAATAAGGTATTTTCATGTATTAAGCAAAATTCCATATAAATATACAATACAGGGTGTTTCAGAAAGACCTCCCGTAAATACAGGGGGTGAGGACGACAAAAAATAAGAATTTTTTGTCATATGAACTATATGTCTATCTCCTCTTCTCAAAGCTCAAGCTTACTTTGAGAAAAGTCACTTATTTTATAGTGTAATATTGTAAGAGTTTAATTAAAAGCCTTTTTTCTCGAAAATCGTCCACATTAGGAAGTTCTAACAAGAGTGCATTATTTTTAGAAAATAAAATTGTACAATAGAAATTAGAGCCCGACTGGTAAAAAACCTAACCTTAAAAAAAATATAACTTAAATTGTAATAAGAATGTAGCATAACTAGCGCTTTCTATGA